TTTAGTGCAAGGTCATCACTATAATATGGGGTACTACTTATCTGATGGAATTTATCCTCAATATGCTACATTGATCCAGACAATTTCACAACCATCTTCTATGAAAGAGAAACTATTCGCAAAGCGCCAAGAATCTACTCGGAAGGATGTGGAAAGAGCATTTGGTGTGTTACAAAGTCGATGGCATATAGTAAAAGGTCCAGCACGTATGTGGAGCGCAACAGACTTGGGAAAAATAATGAAGACATGCATAATTTTGCATAATATGATTATTGAGAATGAGTGTGACCAAGGCATAAATCCTGAAAGTTGGCAGCCTGAAAGAGATGAACTAGTGGATGATGTTACTCCGGAACATGATTTTCCGTATCTCATGTCAAGGATGGCAGGTAGACTGAAACAAGTTCAAGACAAAAGGATACATAAAGATTTAAAGTGTGATCTTATTAACCACATGTGGGAGTTATATGGTGGTCAGAATGACGACTAGCATTTTCTTAGTTAAAATGAACTTATTGTAGCGCATTTGAACGTGTTTGATTAAGTATTAATGCATGATTTTGAATATTTTCTATGATAGTCAATTCTAACTAGTTTTTGACATTTTATATGAGCATATTAGTTATATTTCTCCATCTTTATATTGTAAGAATCTTAATCAAGTGTATAATTTTTAATTATAAAGGTTTTGATATGTGAATCATGCAGCTTCTAATATTTTTCAAATAATGATTTTTGAGAGATAATAAACTGATTTTATTCAATTTGAATTTGGAAATATATAATATACCATTAAAAAGCCAAGGGAGTCTACTATTCAACAAAAAAAACCGCAGTAAAAAATATTAAGTATGTAGAAAGTTATGATGGTTAGAATGAAGTCTTGCAAAAAAGGTTACAAAAGAAATTTTTTTTGCTAGACGATCGACTTCAAGTAATAAACTGTTTTTACTGGATAAGAATTTGTAGGTATAAGGTATACCATTTGAAAGCTAAGGCTGTATAGTATTCAACAAAAAAAACGGAAGCAAAAAATATTAAGAATGTAGAGAGTTATGATGGTTGGAATAAAGTCTTGCGAAAAAATGTTACACAAGAAAATTTCTGCTGGACGATCAGCTTCAAATAATAAACTGATTTTTTGGGATATGAATTTGGAGATATATTGTACACCATTTGAAAGCCAAGGGTGTCTAGTATTCAACAAAAAAAACAGAAGTAAAAAATATTAAGTATGTAGAGAGTTATGCTGGTTCGAATAAAGTCTTGCGAAAAAGGTTAATACAGAAAAATTTTCTGCTGGACGATCAAATTCAAATAATAAACTAATTTTAATGGATATGAATTTGGAGATGTATGGTATACTATTTGAAAGCCAAGGGTGTCTAGTATTCAATAAAAAAAACGGCAGTAAAAAATATTAAGTATGTTGAGAGTTACGATGGTTGGAATAGAGTATGACAAAATGTTATAAGTTGCTGGAATTTTGATAGTTCATCAAACTTTTCATTACTTTTGGCAGAATGTTATCAGAATGTTATCGAACAGAAAGTTGTATGCTTTTTGTAGAACCAACACAATAGAGCATATAAAAGCTAATAGAGCTCCATTAATCTAATTAACCATTCAGAGAAAAGTTTCAATTATTCCAATCAAAGTAAAACATTAACTAAATAAATCCGACTACAATCTTATTCATGACACTGAATATGAAATGTCAATTAGTGAAGAATTTCATTTTCCCAATCTTTCAATATTTGAGCCTGCATGGCTTCAAAAGAAGCTCTTAGTGATGGTGATAATACACTTAAATCTTGGTTCATGATATGTTGTTTTCTTTGTTCCTTCATCTTCATTGCATGATCTTCTTTTCTCTGTTTTTGGGCAGCTTCTTTCAATTCTATCTCTCTTCTCATCACTTGCTCTTTCAGCTCCATTTCTTTTTTCATTGCTTCCTCTTTCATATTCAAGCTTGCTTGGTTGACGCCAACTTGTTTCTCTAAAGTGCTTTGCAACTTGTTTAATGCATCAACTACACCTTTCTCCTCATTTAGCTTCCGCTTTTTGTCTTTGCAGTTTTTCCTTCCCTCTGGTCGAGCAATTTCTTCATTGTTTACACCTTTGGGCGCTGAGGGTTCTTCACTGATAGTTTCATGAGGAGAATCGTCTGCAGTTTGAGAAGGGATATTGATTGTTTCTTGTTTATTGGATACATTTGCCTTTGTCAACATTTTTGAGCACCATTTCGGGTTCTTGACCAATATTTTCCAACAATGAAGAAACTTGAAGGGGCTCCCAAAGAAATCTTCATACAAGCGTAATGCTTTTATCACCTAGCAAATCAATATTATCAATAAATCAAATATGAAAATATAATATATTTTGTAAAGTATTGTCAAACATCTAGATCTATTGAGGATAATCACCACCATGATTATAATGTATATTGAAAATTATAACATAGATCTTTTTCACATTGTTCATTTGAAAAAAAAAAACAATTAAAGGCACTTCATCTATAATTTTGAATACTAATAGACCTCTTATAAACATATGCAAACACCACATTTTATATGCATTATTATTATTATTTTTTTGGCTAGTCCAAAACAAAAGCTACTAATACCAAATGATTTTAGTTCCAACATCATGTATATAAATCCATAAGAAAAACAAAAATAAATATTAAAAAAGTCTACTGAATATTCGAGATAGAATAACAGTCTTACCAAGTCATTTGGGTTGGTACCACTCTGTGGATGTCGTTCGAGCTGCTCATACTTTGCAACAAATTTGCTTACTGCGGACCGTATTTGGAACCAATGACACTGCAAGCTATTATTGTTTCTCATTGTGTGGTGGTCAGGTCCCATTTTTTGTTTCCAAATGTCAAGGACACGTGCCCACATAGCAGCATTTTTTTGGTTATTTCCCACATCGGCATCCACGGAGATATAGAGCCACGCCTCAGTTAATGCCTCCTCCTCTTTGGTAGTCCAATCCTTTTTAGCAATTGACGATTGAGAAGTATTTGAATTTTGGGAGTCTTTGGCTGCTTTTTTCAAAGGCTTGACCGATTGGGAACATTGTGGGTTGCTAATGGAAATATTCAACATATCTTGATAGGAAAATCTATGCGTGTTATGCATATCAAGATTGAGAGGATACATTCCATTTGGCGGAGCAGTAGGGTAGATAACAGGATTAAATTGGTTCATATTATGTGGAGGCATGGAATAAATAGAATCAGAATTCAATTGGTTTATATTTGGGGAAGGGTTTGTGTGATTGGAAAGTTGTTGGCTGCATACAAAATCAACTTGGTCCTGTGATTCCATCTGTATCATACATGACAAATGAAGAGAGGATTAAATAACATCTATACTATTATAAAAGAGCCAATGAATCTGTAAAAATATGTTTTTCCTAAAATAACCTTATTTTATCATTTTTATAATGGCAACTTTGTAATCTAATAGTGTTAA